CATAAACCAAGGCCAAACATGACCCCAATAGGGTTCCATAAGCATATACAAACATTAAAGGAAACCAGAAATTTCGAAAATGTAACTAGCTTTGGCCCTGAAAAAAACAGTTTTTGTCCTCATTTTGCGGTAATGCAACAAATTTCACTACGCTTATCGGATGAGGGTACAAGACCCACCATCTCGAAGCTAAAAGACAGGGCTACAACATCACAGAAGTTCACTCAACCCAGTTTTGAGTGAAAACAGGTCAAAAATACAAGATACTTCATCAACAACGTAAAACAGATTCACCAAAACGCATTCTAGCGGAAACATCATAACTCAGGCTCTACAAGTCCAAATCTAGAAATTCCAAAACCATCTGAAAGCTAAGAAACAGGTATAAATTTCATCAGAAGGCCTCAATAACCAATTCGGAAGCAATTCCAGCCAAAACAACCAATTACAGGCGCAGTTCTCAATTTCGGGTAAAACCAGAACAGCAATAGTAATTTCGACTTATCTCATTCTACACTACTTCGATTGATCTGAAAGTTTGTAGGCACCTCTTAAATGTCATTCCCTACAACTTTCATGTTTTGAGCTAAGGCCAATTCGGCCTCTATCTAGGACCTAAAAATTCGGACAGAATGCTCCCTTAAGAACCCTAGGTTTTTCAATTTTCTTCCAAAACAGAAATTGGTTGCAATTAATCACTTTTTCCACCTCCTAGAGTCAATATAGACCATTTCCAATCATCATAGATAGCCACACAATCATGCTTATATTAAAACAGAAAAATCCCCAAAAATAATAAAATTCCATCATTTCAACCACAAATCAAGAAATAACCCATAAATTTGCATCTCATACAACCACTAAGCATGATTTAAGCATCAATTAAAGGAGGAGGGTGGTTCTTCACAACTTACCTTTAAAACAAGAGAGAGAGAGCTATTGGTCACCTTAACTTTCCAAACAGCTTCACCAATCACCTCAAAATCACTAAGTGGAGGAGTTTTATGGAGCAATTACAAATTTAACCGGTTGAAGTTGGAGATTGAGCAAGGTTGGAGACCAAATTTGTGGAGAGTTTTCTTTCCTTTGTGCTTGAAAGGAGTCGGCCAAGAAGAAGAGAAAATGGTGAATTTTTTTGGTTAGTTTTTGATTTATTTGGGCAATGGTAAGAATAGGAATAGTGGTCTTACTTCAAGACCAATCCAATGGTGACACTTGTCACCTTTTATTAACTATCTACCTAACTTGTCTCTCTCATATCAATCCAAATTGCAACCTCTACTTATCTCTTAACACCCGGTAAATTAACTCCAGTATTCAAAACTTAATCTAGTTGGCCGAATTTTTCCGAACTTTTCACACCAGTGGGTCCCACGTCCGGTATACGCTCTTAATTCCTCAAAATCCATTCGTTACTAGAAAAATCATCTAAAAATTATATCTGCTCCTTAAAATTATCTAGAAAATTTTTCTAATCACGAAAATGCAGAAAACAAGCCATAAAAATATGAGAAACCTAGAAAATGAAAATTACGGGTTCTCACAGAATGCATGCAGGAAGCGCTCCAACTCCTAATCCATGCTATCCAAGCCTACGTTGGGAGGCCGCGGACCATAGAAGGCCTTGCATGTAAGGATGAAAGACAAATCACCTTGGTGGAGACCTTGGATGATGAAGAGGGCCTTGCTTGAAGCCACGGCACCCCTTGGAGCATCGTGATTAATCATATAGTTATTAGAATTTTTTTTTATATTTCGTTGGTAGTATTAGTTTAGAACAATAAAACTCATGTTGAGCCTTGGACCGAGTAGAAGGCTCTTTGGAAGCCCATTTGGCCGATCTTTGCTAGGAGCATGGGCCTAGCCCTTTGTGGATTTTCGGCCATCTAGTAGTATTATTATAAGTAGGGCAATTATTTGTATTTGCAGAGAGATTTTGTTTAATACAAAAATTGAGAGTTCTCTCATTGGCTTCTTGTGAGCTTTTCTTGAAGTTCTTAGATTAATTCCCTAGGATCTTCGAGTTCGACTTATCAATCTAGAATTGCACTAGATTGTGGTGTCATCTACCTTATACCAAGGTTCGTTAGCCACGTGACTAACGGGTCAAGGTTCCATCAACTCCAAACATGTTCCGTCCCTCTAGATCCTGTGCGCTTGTCTCTTGCAGGTTTCGTTACAAATTGGCGACGTTCGTATCAGTTGGTAATCAGAGCTAGTTGAGGTACCATGTTATATCCTTTGTTTTAGTTGTCTTGAGTCAGTTTTATCCTTCAAATTTCATTCTAGGTCCTTAGGGTTTGCGTCAACTCGTTGATAAGGTTCTTGTGAAGCCGCCAATTCTATTTTGTCTTGTTAGTGTGCTGTCCGCAATTTTCCAGAATTGTTTCAGTATTTTCGTGTGTTGTTTCTACCCAAGTTTCATCCGTAAGCCTGTTGATTTTGTGTTCAAATCATTAGAGAAAAAAAAAAAAATTTCCAGTCGCTAGGACTTTCTTTGTTCTTGTCGCATTGTGCCTTTGTGCCTTGTGCAATCTGTCCAACAATTTCTAGTCACTACTTGCTTCTGAACTTTGTCTGGATTATAGTTGTTTTTGTGTCATCTTGGGTTGCGAAAACAGCCCAGCAAAAGTGTCAAAAAAAAAAAACAACAAAAGAGTCACGTACCTTGTTGTGTTTTCGTGTCAAGTTGCTGGAATTTCGTTTTGGGAATTGCTGAATTTCTGCTTGCCTATTGTCGTGAGTTGGTTGTTGTTATTGCAAGCCTTGGATACCATAACATAATTGGGCAAGTTCTTGAACCAGAATCTTGAAATTCTTGGACCACAAACACTTGTTTTGAAAGTGCTTGAAACCATAAATCAAGAACTAGGGTTTTCTTTCTTGAAACTTGCCTAACTTGCCATCGTTCCTTGATCTTGATTGGAGCGACCTGAACTTGTTTCCTTTGAAGAGCTGAAATCTTGATCAAAAGTACAAAAAAAAAAGAAGAAAAGAGACAAAAAAAAGAAAGAAACGACAAAAAAAAAGTTAAAAGAAAAGAGAAGGGTTCGGCTCTCTCGAAGAAATCAGGTTTCCTATTCTTGATCGATTGGAGATTCCAATTTCTGGTGGGTTTCCAAAACTTAATTGGCTTCTACATATGGAATTTCAATTCTAGATTGGTTGCCAAGACCCCACCGACATTGGACAGCCCAAAACCATCCCAAAACAGTCTCCTAAAACCACCACCAGTCCTTATCCAAATCGCGATAGAATTCATTGATTTCCAAAGGCGGTTGGACTAGGATTGAAAAATCAACTTGGCCAAAATTCAGGGACTGAATCTGACCTTCTTTGAACATCCTAAAGGCACTTTTACCCTTCCAAAACACTGACCAGAATACAGCAATACAACAGCCCAAAGTTCCAGTTTTGCGGGTAGGAGTTTTCTAGGATTTCAAATTTCAGCTTTGAGTCTTGAGTCGCGTCTAGTGTCATATACCTGAGTTTGTTCCAGTTTGACCCTTGCTTCATTCCTTGTTTGGATCGTGGTTGAAAAGTCGACATTAGAGTTCTTTGGGAAAATTTTCTGATTTCTTCAAGGGAGGCAAGCAAAGGCCAATAAGAGTTATTTGTAAGAGTACTCGAGTGAGTAATCTTGTGTGCAAACACGAGTGTGAGTGTATACACATGAGGGAGTGTTGGGAGGAAACTTTTCCTTGTTTTCTACTAACCATTTTGTAGGTTGCCTTAGCAATGGATTCTCACCCTTTCGATAATAAACTTACCATGGAGGCCTTGCTGAATGAGTTCCAGCGGAGGATGGACATGTCCCTTGAATCTATACATAAGCGAATAGACCAACTTGAGAACCATCAACAACGAAGTAACTCGGTTCATGGGGGAAGCAATAAGGACGAATCCGGCCCTACGCCTGAAGGAGATGAAGACGATCGATGGCCTAGATATGTTCAACGAGACCCAAAGAGGAACGATGATGCACTAAAAGGGATTAAAATCAAAATCCCTTCGTTCCAAGGGAAATCTGATCCAGATGCCTACTTGGAGTGGGAAAAGCGCATCGAGATGGTTTTCGAATGCCAAGATTATAGGGAGGATCAAAAGGTGAAGCTTGCCACTCTTGAATTCACGGATTACGCCATCATTTGGTGGGATCAAGTGCAACTTAGCCGAAGGAGATGTGGAGAACTGCCTGTGACCACATGGCATGAACTTCACAGGTTGATGAGGAAACGGTTTATTCCAAGTCACTACCACCGAGACCTTTATCAAAAATTACAAAACTTGAGTCAAGGGTCTCAAAGCGTGGATGACTATTTCAAGGAGATGGAAATAGCTATGTTACGTACGGATGTAGTGGAGGACCGGGAAGCGACAACGGCTAGGTTTCTAAGCGGATTAAGACCCGAGATTGCAGAGGTAATGGAATTGCACCACTACATAGAAATCATTGACATGGTGGACAAAGCTTCAAAAGTGGAGCGCCGCCTCAAGAGGGGGGGTACTACTCGACTCCCTAGTGCACCCGTTAGCTCGAATTGGAGGACATATCCGCCTAAGAAAAAGGAGACACCAATTATGGGAGCCTCGGGTGGAGCCACACGAAATGAAGCTAAGATTGAGGGCCTCAAGAAGGACACCAAGGCAGTGAATGATGCCTCTAAAACCGTAACCGTGAGATCAAGTGCTTTAAATGCCAAGGGTTCGGTCACATGGCATCGCAGTGTCCAAACCGGCGAACCATGCTCTTACTTGACAATGGAGAAGTGTTATGGATGAAGAAGATAGCTGTGAGGGAATGCCTTCCTTGGAAGAGGATGAAGCCGATTCTAGTGAGAAACTACCACGAATGAACAACTCGACATGGTAGTTCGATAGGTGCTGACTACGCAAGTCAAGAAGGAGGATGGCCAACAACGGAAAAACATCTTTTACACACGTTGTCACATAAAGGGCAAGGTGTGTAGCCTTATTATTGACCCGGGAGTTGCACAAACATGGCATGTGTGATCCTAATGGAGAAGGCCGCACTTCCTACCCTCAAGCATCCTCACCCTTATAGGCTCCAGTGGTTGAACAATAGTTGCGATATGCGAGTCACAAAGCAAATCAAGATTCCATTCCGCATTGGACGATATGAGGATGAAGTCCTATGTGACATAGTGTCCATGCAAGCTACTCATGTGCTATTAGGGAGGCCATGGCAATATGACAAGAGAACTAGTCATGATGGCTTCACCAATAAGTACTCATTCATGCACGACAACAGGAAGGTTACACTTGTGCCTCTCACTCCCAAACAAGTGCATGAGGACCAAATCCGGTTACAACAAGAAAGCGAGGAGCAAAGGAGAGTGAAAGGAGCCGAGAAAAGTAAAGGGAAAATGGCAATGACTGACTCGACCCTTCAGAGGAAAATCGAGAAGAAGCAAAGCATGTTCGCTAAAGCTAGGGAAGTAAAACGAGCCTTACTCTCTCGCCAACCTTTGCTTATGTTAGTCTGTAAAGAAGTTATGCTCGTTGCTAATAATGCTACTAACTCGTTACATCTTGGTGTGTTATCATTGTTGCAGGAGTTTGAGGATGTATTCCTCGAGAAATTCCGGACGGATTACCTCCCATCCATGGAATTGAACATCAAATAGACCTCGTTCCAGGTTCACCATTGCCCAATAAAGCTGCCTATCGCATGAGTCTCGAAGAAATCAAGGAGCTTCAAAGGCAGGTACACGAACTACTCAAGAAAGGTTGGCGCGTGAGAGCTTAAGTCCTTGTGCCGTACCCGCCATCTTGGTGCCAAAGAAGGATGGAAGCTCACGCATGTGTGTGGATTGCAGAGCCATCAATTCTATAACGGTAAAGTATCGTCATCCTATACCTAGGTTAGACAACATGCTAGATGAGCTAAATGGAACTGTAATCTTCACAAAAATTGATTTAAAAAATGGATATCACCAAATTCGAATGAAAGAGGGTGATGATTGGAAAACGGCTTTTAAGACTACTTATGGACTGTATGAATGGCTAGTCATGCCCTTTGGTTATCTAATGCCCCTTGCATATTCATGAGGTTAATGAATCATGTCTTACGTCCTTTTCTAGGTAAATTTGTGGTAGTTTATTTTGATGACATCTTGGTCTATAGCCGAAGTCTTGATGAACATATGGAGCACTGACGTGCTGTTTTGAATGCTTTGTGCCATGCCAGTTTGTATGCTAACTTGAAAAAGTGTTCTTTTTGCACTAACCAATTGGTATTTCTAGGATTTGTTATTAGTGTACAGGGAATACAGGTGGATGAGAGCAAGGTGAAAGCCATCCAAGAATGGCCTACACCAAGAACTGTGAGCGAAGTGCGAAGCTTTCACGGATTAGCTAGCTTTTATCGACGGTTTGTGCGCGACTTCAACACAATTGCAGCCCCGTTGACGGCCGTCATCAAGAAGAATAGCGCATTTCATTGGGAGCTGACCAAGATAAAGCATTTCAATTGCTAAAACACAAACTCATGTGTAGACACCAATTTTTAGTGTATTTTATTTACTATCATTTTATGTTTATGTTATTTTATTTACTTTTAGTCGCTTATTTGTTATTTTTATTTTTAAGTCTTTTTAGCATGGAATTTATCGAAAAAAAGAAAATCATTCACAAAAATATGCTTTATTTCTTTTGAATTCAAGTTTATTGTTATTTATTTAAAAAAAAAAATCTCTCAGCATTTTATCTTTCATTCCTAGTTTTGTTCATTTTATTTGATTTTTACTCAAATTATTATTTTTGTTTTTTGTTTATTGCTAATTAAATGATTCATTGGAAATAAAAATGGGAAAAATGAAAAATGAAAAAAATGAAAATAGGAGCCCACGCGCGCGTGCTTTGCACGCGCGCCATTCCTTCATATTGCAGGCTCAGACGTAGCCCACAAGACAAAAAAATGCAACTTCATTTCACGGGATTTTTTATCATGTTGATGCCCAAAACTACTTGGCTTAATCCAAGGATCAAGAAGGATCCAAAAGGAGGTTTCCAACGGCTCTAATAATCCCATAAAAATCTGATTTTTGAGGGCCATTGAGATGAGGGTTTTACGAACCCTTGTCTCATTTAAAAAAGCTGAGGGAGCAGCGGATAGAGTAGAGAATGAGGGAGTTAAGAGTGAGGTGCGGCGGCTAGAAAGGAAAGGAGAGAAACAGCGGCGAAGAAAAGAGAAAAATTGCAGGAGACCGAGAGGGAGTTAGGGGACAGAAACGAAGCAAGAACTCTGAGGAAGACATTAGATAGAACCCGAGAGGAAAGAAGAAGCAAAAAAAAAAAGAAAACGAAGGCTGTGGGTTGGTGAAGGAAAAAACAGAGTGAGGCTTCGGCTGGGTAAAAAATAGGATAGGAGTTTGAGAGAATAGAAAGGAGCAGAGAATGGCTAGGGTTTAGGGAGGAAAGAAAGATGCAGCTTTGGAGAAGAAAAAGAAAAAGCTCACGGCGGAGGAACAAGGGACGGCCAGGGGGGGTTGCCGGATCTCCATACTTTCACTTGCGGATTCCTTCATCAAGGTTGCGGCAGGTCTCGTGGATCTACTGCGGAGCTCGATCATCTCTCAAGGTAACCCTTCCTTTCCCTTTTCCTCCGCCTACCCATACTCAAATCGATATGCGGCAATATCCAGTTCTGGTTTTCATGTTTTTTTTTCTCTTTTCTTTGTCTTCGGTTCTTTTCCTTGCCATGCGCTGTTGTTTCAGATTTTTCCTCATACCTCTGCACCCGGATTTTTGTGTCATTGTGAATTAGGAGAATGTGGAGGTTAACCCATTTCTTTTAGATATTAACAACCCTTTTATATTCGTAAAATTTCACAAAATGAATCTTGGGTTGATATCGGTTTCACGGGTTGCAGAAAAATGAAGTCTTGATGAAACTTGTTCTTTGAATCTGTGGATTTTGCTTTATCTTTTCAGGTTTTGTTGTTCTATGATTGCCCTGCGCATGATGTCTTTCTTTCTCTACGTTGACGTGATTGTCAATTTCTGGTTTGAGTTGGAAGGTTTGGAGCTCATCCGAGCTTGATAAACCCAGGACTTCGAAACCTTGTAAAACCCAGTTGAAAAAAGCGGAAACATGAAACTTTGGGGTGTCTTGTTTTCCTTTTTTGCTGCCTTATACGTTTCACGGAGGTGTAGTGTTTTTTTTTATTGTTTTGTTTGTGAAAGACTACTGAGTCTTGAAGTCTCGGAGGTTGAGAGAGGTTGCATAGGTGGTCTTTGATTGCTGAAGCCCCAAATCATTAGGAAAAGTTTCATGCCTGCATTTTAAAGTAGCAATTTACGATGTAGCATCAGGCTGCAACAAGGCCAATCTATTACAGCAATGTTGACGAAACTGGATTTTGGGTAGCTGAGGTTCTAGTTTGGTCTGATTGTTCTTTTGGGTCTGCTTGTTATTAGATGGTGATGCCATAGTATGCGTCTGCTGCAATTTTTGCAGCAAAGTGTGGTATAACAGCAGGCCATAGCATAGACATTGTTTTGCAAATGAGTAAAACCTTCGCTGCTCCAAGTTCATCTTCTTTTGCTGATTTTATGTTCAGTTTCCTTGGTTGATTTCGGTGAAGTAGACAATGGCATTTGGTTGCTTAGTTTAGAGTTTTGATGATTGGTGAAAAAGTTTAGATCAAAGTCGTGCATTTGGACCAGAAATATGCGTTTGTCAACGAAAATGCAGCAAGCTTTCGGTTGCAGAAGCTTTCCTTGTAACATTTGCATGAAGTTTGCATGAAATAGTTTCTGAAAGTTGCACTTTAACCCCTTGGCTTCTATCTAATGCTACTATGGCCCAATTCATTGGATAACTTAATCAATTTTGTCCTCTTAATGTGCCATTTTCTCTTTAATATGTTTTGACTTGTTTTTGGATAGCTTCTTAAGGAGTTTTAGGATGAATTTGTAGGTTTAATAACTTTTTATAGACTTATAGCTTTGATTTGAATTTTTTGTGGAATGTTTGAATTTTTGTCGTTTAATTGTAAAAATAGGGTTTTATTCATTTCTTATGAATTTTATCATTCGATTGGTAGGTTTCACCTTAGGTCCCTAATTTTAATTTATTTCCTTTTAGACCCTTAATTCTTGTAATGATAATAAATAGACCCCTCAAAATTCTTTAATTTTGCAATCAAAATTTCTTGAACGTGATACTTTGAGTGATTCAATTCCTGTTTATTACCATTTCATGTGATTATTTGTTAATTAAAGTGATGCCTTGACCTTTTCTTTGTTTTTGGGTAAATAAGTAATTTCACTCCATTAGTGCCCAACTCAAGGGAGGTACACTCTATCCCTTATTTTTACTTTATTTGACCCTATGTGTGCCTATGTGATTTATGTGTTTAATTGCATGCCTTTTGAGTGTTTTCATTTTATTTATTTATTCGCTTTAGTCGTCTTAATTTCGTATATTTATTTTAGCTTCATTTTGGTTATTTAAAAGGCGTTTAAGTGCCAAGTTGTAATAGTTAGGTTTATTTTATTTTATTTATTTTCATTTCCCTCTTAGATTGTAGTAGGCTTCCCCGAATGTAATAGTTAGGGCTTTGTTTGTTTTACTTGCCTGATGTGTGTTTTGCATGTCTATGTGCTATGTGTTACCGCTTTCTTAGGGTCTCGCATCTAGATATCATGCTCGTGTGTTATGTGCTATATGTGATTTATGTGTTTATATGCTTTTATTAGGTCTTACATGATTTATTTGGTTGTAATAAATGCATGTCGTCACCACACTAGTCCAACGCTAGTTGTAGCCGCCGTTCCCGAATCCGCCTACTAGTCCAATGCTAGTTGTGACTCTTTGTTCGATTTCTCATTGGTCCAACGCTAGTGAGAAAGTAGAAATATGGCTAGTCCAACGCTAGACCCTTAGGAGCCCTTCGCGCGTTAGATCATGATTGTGTGATAAAATCACTTCATCTCATGCATATCTTTACTTTCTAGGCCTCTTTCACCATGTTGCATGACACTTTCCTTATATATGTATATCCCTTCCCCGTATTTTCCCTTATATATGTATATTACTTACCCCTTTGTATGAGACATGACATTAGACCTGCATTTCATCTAAGCACTAGACCTAGTTAGTACATTTGCTTGATTAGACTAGGAAACACCCCTTGGATATGGGATATGGACGAGTTTGGCTTTCTAGCCTTAGCACGCTCGTATTCCCTCTATTAAAGGGAAAATTGAGTCACGAACATTAGTCCCCCGTACCCGACATAATGCACTCCTTTAAGACATATATATTTCTATAATTATTTTATCCCTTTTCTTTTCTTGGAGTCTCATATTTTTGCTTATTTTGTGACCTCTCCAAAGAGTCATTATTGGGCGTCACAATTAATGTGATTAGTACCATTCGAGCTTTGAGAGAAATTTTACCCCCCGATGCCCCTTAGGTTTAGGGCTTGCATTCATATAGTGCATCCAAATGTGATAAATCTTAAGGGTAAAAATAAGAAAATCTTTGACTAAATCGCGCAATTAGCCTTGGCTAGGTTGAGAGGTGCCTTGGACTTCGTCCTTGCCTTCCCTCTCTTCAAATATGACTCCCGAATCTTTTCCTTTGATTTACGTAGACTTGGAGTCGTTTAAAAAGGGT